TCTTGTTCATGTTTTCATGTCTTTTATTTTGTAATTGTTTCACTCTGTTTGTGTCATGCTTCCCTTGCCCTCATGTATTCATGCCATTGGTTCCTCTGTTCATTATGTCATGTTCTGATTGGTTGTCCTAGTCATGTGTCTTGTTTCCCATTGGTTTGTTCTTGTCATGTGACCCTCTTGTCTGTTATAAGTAGCCATGATGTTCCCATAGTCTTCGTCGTGTATTGATGTTGTAACCTGCTGTCGGTGAGTCAAGTCTGTTCATGCCACGTCAAGTCTGTTCATGTCAAGTCTGTTCATGCCTCGTCAAGTCTGTTCATGCCTCGTCAATTCTGTGTATCTTGTTTGGATCACTCTGTAAATAAACTGCACTTGGGTTCTCACTTCAACTCGCCTTCAGTGGATTGATTCGTTACAGATGTCTGTCCACACACACTTCAATTCGGATATGACTCATTTCTGTAGAGCTGGACTTTTTAAATAAGCTTCAAACGAGTGAGTTAAAACCAACCTATATCTTCGTCAGTATCTTCACGTTTCAGACTGAATACTTCTTCAATCCTTAAGTCTTCACTCTCCTCTTTAATAAACGCCATCTTCATAATAGTGTGTCACATGGATCTCTGTGTGTTTAAGATGAGAATAATTAGCATAAATAAATAATGCAAACTAAGTCTCTGGGTGCATCTCAGTCAGCTCCCTAGTTCAGCGCACTGCCCCGTTTTTGCCAGTGACTGAATTGGTGTATAAACTGACTGACAATATAATGAGCGAAACAAGGCGCATCTTTTCTGTTACTCATGTGCGGATGCGCTTTACTTACACAAAATAACACTCTTTAACGTTAGATAAAGTATTACGATGTTACATTCAATAATAACGAAGCTATTTTACATCGTTTGCAAAACCTATAAAATTGCTTAAACGGATTGCATTAATTTAAACGCTTAAAAACACAACCCTTTCTTTAGTCGAATCACAACAAACGCCGGAGCGTGGCGCAGCCTTGTGACGTCACGTCGCCAAACCAGAATAAAAGTCCTGTTTACGCGAGAACAAAAATAGAGGAATTTAGGGTTGAATTATAGGTGAAATGCATATTTAAATACATGTCGTTCAGTCGTGTGCTGAACATACTAAGAACTACCAAAGACATTGTGTGAGATTTTCTCTAAAGTGCAAATTTTTTTTCATAAATAAATAATAATAATGTAACGTAATGAAATGTAACCATTCCTAATGCAATATGTAGCCATTATATATCAGATTGTTCCTCATCCCAGTTTTTGTACCCACATTGAATGTTCTTTTGTTCAGACACAGACAGATCAACCCATGAAAACAGGTACATTGATAGTGGTATTTTCTCAGTATAATATCCTCAAATTCACACTCACCCCGGCTGGAATGTGATAGTTTTGAAGGACAATGTCTTCAGTGATGTATCTTTGTAGACTCACTGCTACAGGATGTAACCTTCAAAAGAGAGTTAATGTTCTTAGATACTGTAATGTGGTGTTTTGGGTTGTGTTTCTTGTTCATGTTTTCATGTCTTTTATTTTGTAGTTTGGTCCCTGTCAGTGTCATGCTTCCCTTGCCCTTATGTGTCTCTGCCTTGTGTATGTGATCGTTCTGTCATGTGATTCCCTTGTCTGTGTGTTATGTTCTGATTTGTTCTTTGGTTCATGTGTCATGTTCTGATTGGTTGTCCTAGTCATGTGTCTGGTTTCCCATTGGTTTGTTTTTGTCATGTGACCCTCCTTGTCTGTTATAAGTAGCCATGATGTTGTCATTGTTCTTGGTCGTGTATTGATGTTGTAACCTGCTGTCGGTGAGTCTAGTCTGTTCATG